GTCCAGTCGGGGATCTCCGAGTCACCGGGCAGTCCTCGTTAATACTACTTATACAGAAAAGGTTAAAAACTTTGTGATTTTAATATATGGCTTCATTGGCCGTAAAGAAGTGCTACATTGCTAACGAGCTAAGGTATGTAGTTTGATTTTAAAAAAGGACACACATACAAACTAAATATTAATTTGTATGTTGGGTACTGTGCACAAATAATGAACTAATGACTCTGGATGTACTTTTAGGTTTGCTATCATGCTGCAGAATGAATTAACGGTGGTACGATGGTAGTACATGGCGCCTAAAAATGCAACATAAGTGAGAGGTGTGCTGTCGGATGATTACAACCGAAGGATCTGGCAGTTTCCTTTGTTAAGTAACTCCAGTAAATCAGGACGTACTGTGAAAATGAGCTGCACTTGTATGCCAGGTGGCAAATGGTCTCTATATTACCTCCTAATCCTCCATGTGTACAGGTTTCACCGGTCCCCAAACAGAAAGGAGGGAATCATAATTGATGGCTACAGCCCTCCCTTCAGTAGCCTGGGAATTGGCTGCAAGCATCACTGTTCATGTACAAGCATTTACTCTAATGCCTTCAGGATGAGGGACTTAATATGACTCTAATTTTATTAGCTGAGTAAAGAGACGGCCGGGTGTGTGGGTTTTGTTTCTGTGTCGGTGAAGCTCTCGCCAGGCAGTGATAAACACCTGCAACGCCCACGCCGGCCACCTCGTATGCATCACGCTTACTCTTTGACTCTCTCAAGTTCACGTAAACACAAACAGGCCGGCGCTTGTTCTCGCTTTTTTCTCCGCACACATGCGCGCAAAGGTGTCGGTGTAATTACCACGGCACGGTGGAGCAGAGACTGGAGGTCAGAGAGGTCGGACGGTCTCGTCGGCGGTGTTCAAGCCCCACTGATACTGTAATTTTAATCACCATTCACACACAAACGGAGGCAAACACTTTGATGGCTGAGCGCGGGCTAATTAGCTGTCTAGAACAAGGAGGCAAAAGTTAACAAGTTTGTTGGACTTTTTGTACTTAAAGCTGTTACTGTGTGCAGAGGGAAGAAGTATGTGTACCATATAATCTCTTAAAAATATCTAAATGTGTTACAATCCGTTAGTTATTCCATAAAAGTGTCATTCTAAATAAGTCATTTTTAATGAATAATTTAAAATTGATCAAAAGGCGTGAAAACCAGCCCTGATTTTTCGCTTGAATTTAAAACTTAAGGCAACTTTAACTTTTAATTGCTTTTTCTAAACAGTATATATTTTCTTGTAGCAAATATTGAAATTAATTATCCCCTGACAATTAGAAACACGGTAATAACATCATTGTCGTAGGTGTGAATTAATAGAATTTTTAAATTAAAAAAAAGAACGCTATTAATGGTTTTATCGTGTAGCTGAATCACCGAAATCGCCTTTTTTTTTTTTTTTCTTCCAGGCAGGTCGAGCTGAGATGAAGATTAGGTGATCCGAACACACGCAGCTGATTTGACACACAAAACACACAGCTGGCCAGATAAACCCATAAAAATGTGATCAGTGGGCTAGAGCTTGACGTCATCGGGGTGCGTTCGGGATTATTTGATGTTTCGCGGCTGTGATGCAGCGCTGCAAAGACTTGCATAACATGTCGTGTCAAGGGGACTGGGACACGATGCTGTGACAAGGCTCGCTTTGATTTCATCAAAATATGCAGAAAGTCAGAGTGTGATTGGATGAAGTCGTATCGTCAGTTTGTTTTATGGGGAACAGTTTCATGTTACTCATCAGCTGTTTGCTTGGTGATTTGATTTACACAAACTCGATTTCTGTGTGTAATGCAGCTGGCTGGTAATATATAAAACTTTTTTTTTTTTTTTTTTAACCAGAGCTTTCCATTGTAGCTCAGTCACCTCTACCCACTTTTCCAAAGGGAATCCTCCTTTCTAAATCCCTCATCGTTGCTGTTTGCTGAGTGGCTGCGCTGTTTGCTGACCGACTGCATTTCACTTTTCATCCGTCACCAGAGTTCACCCTCCTCTGCTTAATTGTTGCTGACCTCCCGTTTCCTTATCTCTGACTGACAGGTGTGGAAAGCGGCCTGGCTAGTACTGTAGTCGCTCTTGTTGTCAAGGAAACCCAGAGTCCTGTCCCGTTGCCATGGGGAAACAGAACAGCAAGCTGCGGCCAGAGATGCTGCAGGACCTCCGGGAGAATACCGAGTTCTCTGACCACGAGCTGCAGGAGTGGTACAAGGTACACCCAGCCCACACTGAATACTCATATTATCAAATCATTGTAATCGCACCACAAGTTCAAGAATTTTCTTAAGTTCTGTACTTTATACGACATTTAGAGAACTATTTTTTTTTACTTTGCAGGTTCATAGTTGCATCATGTCTGATTTTTACCATCTGGCTGAGCAGACCAGTAATTTATAAGGTAGTTAAAGTAGATCCGCCTTCATCTCTGCCAACACTAAAACGCTGCGAACACACGAGCACTAGCAGCCCAACACTCAACACTGAGAGGGACCATTTTAGCACAAGTATTTATACTTTTTCTATGTAGGTACCGTTTGCTGGTAATACTTATGTCGTGCTTGATCCTGCAGTAGTAGATTTTTTTTTTTTTTTTGGCCAACTGGGAGCAACACGGCAAGTTGGTGAACCTTTCAGCAATTTCAGCTCCATGTAGCATCATTAGCACTCATTCAGAGCCGTGGTTCTGGCCACAAGAGGAATCCAATGTTTACTCTTCTTTTAGCTCTGTTTTGAACTCAACCATCACCCGAGGGAGACATCCAGCTCTCTAAATGCTAAATGCTCCGCTGTGTTTGCTAGTTAGCCTCAAAAATGGTCTTTTAACTGCGGATTTATTAGAGATTTGCCATTAAAGCTAGCTGCTTGGTGCCGTTGAAAACAAGTTTGATGAGAGCTGTGGGAGTGAACCAAAACAAAGGCTGGGGGTTGTTAGAACAAACAGTGAGCTCAAATGGGCGAAAAGGTGAAACTACAGCCGCCGGTGGTCATTTAATGTGGGTTTGTCAGAAGAGCTGAGACCTTTCAAAGTAATCTGATCCACTATTAATATATATAAAAAAAAAATGCTGCAGCTTTAAGTAAAAGGTAAATATCTTCTAATAGTGATATTGTGTTGTTTTAAAATATCACTCCTGTCAGTCCTCCAAAAACAGAAGAGGTTCATTTGTATTAAGGTAAAAAAATACATTCTGCAAGGCTACAGTCCCGTGGTATTGTGCTTTAGCGTTTAATAGCTCGACTGCATATGTGTTGCAGATATATAACACATTATTCAAATTCAGAAAGAACATTTCAGATATCTACATTTGCAGTCTTCTAGGACAAAGGATGCCAATTTTACTATGTATACCATCCTGTGTATCTTTTATACGATTCAGCCTTAGATATCCTCTATGTAGATTGTGGATAAAGACATCTTTAATTCTCCTAATTTCATGAAATCTACACCGTCCTTTTCAGATATCCTAAAATAGGTTTAAACAAGTCAGGAAAAAAAATCGTATCTCAAAGTGGAAGTCTGCCAAGGCCAAAAAAATAAAAACTAAAAAATGTAATTGCAGATATTTTGACTTTTGACAATTCAAAATGACATTGCAGAGGTTTCTAGTTACGCAAGAGGTCGAGGCGATCTGCTTTTTAAACACATTATGGCACTGCAACTGTAAGCACATATGACAAACTGTTTTACTGCCGTTTCACAGCAGCCCGAGGCGCAGTTCTAGTAAATTTCAACAACTCTAAGTCTCTAAGGAACGAAGCTGTCGTTCTCCACCAACTCATGTTCTAACAGTCTTATCCACCGCAGCGGTTAATTCTGCCAGCAGCATTCAAGTGCTTTTGCTTGGACCAGTATCCAGCGTTGAGCCTCAGCAAGCAAGCAGAGTCGAGCACAACAGTTATCTGGTTAGATTCAAACTGAACTACAGGTTTCTCTAATTGTTGTGTTTTGAGTCAGAATGAAGCTATAGGTATCTGGAATAAAAGTCGTGACTGGTAATCATGACTCACGGTGTAATTATGACAAGTCAAAAGGATGTTGACCTGTAATGTTCATTCCAGATAGTTAAACTCAGCGATTAAATGTGAAAGTAGTTTGCAGTCATCATTCACAGGGCAGGAAATCTGTTGCCTTTTGAGGTTAATGTAAGTGTCTGTGTTAAACTGTGTTGTGCTGTTGGTACAAATTCACACCATCTGGATCAACACAGTAAAAAAAAAAAAAAAACTTTCATGATGCAAGCAAATATCCAGAGTTGTAGTAAGTCACACAATTATGATTTAAATGAGTCTGCATGAGACTTTTTGTGTACAGATATCAGTGATCAGAAACAGCAGTCCCATAATGCAGCAGTGTTTGTCCAAAGCAGAGCACACCCAGTCTGTTATCCAGTGGGGAGACGGATTAGGCTTGGGCATTATGAAGTGCCACAGTGACCTGACCGCTTGAATTATGTCATCTTGTGCACACAGATGTGTGTAATGGCTATATGGCTTTAATCACGGATTAGACCTATGGAACAGCTGTGTGAGCTGCCACGAATAAGAGCTGTACATGTTACACCGCCACCCTCCTGACATGTGACCCCAGGTCACCTCGCACCGACTGTGGTCACAACTCTCACCAGATTAACAGCTGCTGGATGCTGGAGATGTCACAGTATATTCCACAGGATGTTAGGACACTCAAGGTCTCTGAGAATTTATCCAACTTGTCTTTTCGGGGGGGATTTATGGGCCATAAATCTGAGCTTTGATTCGGAAAGTCTCCCTAAACACTGTGTCGCTGTCTCGTTGAAAATGTCAAAGACTGGCAATAAAGACAAAAAAAAATTATTAAGAGCGCAGCCATGTTGACTTTAAACCTTCACGTCACAGAATATATTGCATGATGTTCAAAAAAGTAATTCCAGCCTTCATATTGGGACAATGACTTTGTCACCTCGCTGACTCCATCTTAAAGGTCTTAGTAAAATAAAAAGCGCTTTATTTCCGCCGAACAAAAACCGAGACTGACATGACTTTTACCTCCCTTTTCTTCTCAGACACAATGCTGCTTTGTCAAATGTGACTACTTGGAAAAAAAGATAGCTTTTTGCTCGAGACTAAGCTTCTTTTCAAAGTGCACTTCCTGTCTGGACAGAATAAAGAGTTACACGAGTTAAACATTTACTGGTCAAAGTTTGGGTGCAGAAATTGGATTTGATTTGGGTCAGTTATAATAGAGTCCACTGATGCAAAACTTTTACCACAGGAATGTATAATATTGTCTGAAAGGGGACGTATTTTCGCCCTTGTGTTGGCTCACGTCTTTGCTCCTCCGTCCCTCAGGGTTTCTTGAAGGACTGTCCCAGTGGAACCTTGAACGTGGAGGAGTTCAAGAAGATCTACGCCAACTTCTTCCCTTACGGTGACGCCTCCAAGTTCGCTGAGCACGTCTTCCGAACCTTCGACACCAACGGCGACGGGACGATAGACTTCCGGGAGTTCATCATCGCCTTGAGCGTGACGTCACGGGGAAAACTGGAGCAGAAGCTGAAGTGGGCCTTCAGTATGTACGACCTGGACGGAAACGGGTACATCAGCCGCGAGGAGATGCTGGAGATTGTACAGGTGAGCGGGGGAAGCTGGCGAGAATAAGTTGGAGGCATGATGGTTTTTGTTTTGTTTTTCGGAAATGGCACGCTTGTGTTCAGGTGCGCTTGTAGAGGCAGTTCATTCTTTGGCCTCCGGTGCTGACGGTGGGGTTGTCGCATGTGGCGGATGTGGATCATACCAGCTGGAGCAGTGGAAGCTTTCCCAAAGACACAAAAATTTCATAGCAACTACATCTGCACCATCCTAAAGCTTAACAGAATCAGAGTTTAGTTCTTTGGGTCCATATTATAACTCAGTCATTAAACGACTTTTGATGCGGATATCAATATTCAAATGTAGGATTTTTCTTTCTCAGTTCATTTAAATTTCCTTTAAAATGTCACAACTCTCTGGTATATAAACTGTAGCATGTTTCAAGTCATATTTTTTGACATGTCAACACTATAAGTTCTCATCTTTCATCACTGGTTGCCATGGTATCAGTCACTATATTCACCTACTGATCAGCATTTAGGCCTATCAGACAGGAAAAAAACAAAATTGTCCCTTAATGCTGATCTGTTTTGTGTTCACATTGACTTATTACAACCTGACTAAAGACTGTAAACAAGAAGTCAAATGGAGAAACAGGTATCTGATGTTATCAGAACAAGTAATGCTGTGATACACCAGCACTGATGGTAACTGTGACATAAGATAATAATCCGGCACCAGTAATTATCCTGTTGAAAGCTGACTTAGATTCAGACTCCACCAAAGGACACAATGTACTTATATTATTGTGAATTATTTTGCCAACAAACTGTAGTAATTCAGAGTGAGTTCTAATCAAAACCCTTGTTGAGAATTGACAGGTCATGCCGCAATTTACTGCTTTTTATTTACAGTGTAGTCAAAACAGTATGACTGCTCACAAATGAAGCAACTAGCATTAACTGTCTCATAGTATATCACCGGTGTGTGGCCTTTTGCTTTTAATGAGCTTACTATTAACATGGTTACCCAATAGTTTTCACTGGCATGCAAGCAAATGCACTGGACTTAGTTTAAACTGGACCAAACAGCTGTTTTGTTTCTAGCATGAGGTGAGTTTTAAAAAGTACTGGAGTCAATAACATTATTTTGTGACAAATACACATGGTGTCTAGTGCTGTCAACCCTAAGCCAAGAATATCCCTAATGGATATTACTGGGGGCTGCAGGGTGGCGCAGTTGGTAGCACTGTTGCCTCGCAGCAGGAAGGTCGCCGGTTCGCGTCCCGGTGGGGACACCGGAATCTTTCTGCGTGGAGTTTGCATGTTCCAAAAACATGTTGAGGTTAATTGGTGATTCTAAATTGTCCGTAGGTGTGAATGTGAGTGTGCTTGGTTGTCTGTCTCTAAGTGTAGCCCTGTGATAGACTGGCGACCTGTCCAGGGTGTCTCCTGCCTTCACCCTAAGTCAGCTGGGATAGACTCCAGCCCCCCATGACCCTAGTGAGGATTAAGCGGCGTATAGATAATGGATGGATGGATGGATATAACTGGAGCTACATGTATTCTTCCAGGAATTTGTCAAGTTCCTTCTTTAAAGACAGACTAGATTCCCTTTATATACCTTTTCAAGATCCCAAAGACTCCAAACTTTTGGCTCACCAACAGATTAAATATAGTTTCTTGCTCACTGTTTCAAGTTTCCTCCGAGGTCAACTTGCACACCACCGTGCACTTCATTCTAAGCGGCCAATCACACAGGCTTCTGCACTTACATAAAAAGGCTCGCGAGTGCTGGTGATAAATACTCACTTCAATTATGTAAGTTAATACATTCGTTTAAGTGTGGAGGCTCGAGTGCAGATGTGCAAAGGCTCTAATAGACGTCCTTAATGTACCGACTGCAATATCGACACAGGCAACAGTTTGCGGGAAGACTGTGAAGTAAAAGCGCCGCATTAGTGCTGCATGTAATCCTTTCACGGTTGAAGAGAAGAAACGGAGGAACTCCCATGTCGAGATGTTGGGCTGAGGATCTTGCTGCTGCGTGTTCGATGCGTGCATGTGTGTGTGTGCACGCGTTTGTTTCTGTGTTCTCATGGATTAGCAAGTTAAATTTAACCAGAGTTTATCCCTGAGTGTGCAGAATACTGGGATTATCCCCAAGCTCATTGAGGTTACGCACCGTGAGAGAGAGAGGGAGGGAGAGAGGGAGAGAGAGGAGACGACCATTGTGTCATTGTGCGCTTAGAGGGTGATTGTCACGACTGCCGAGGTCGGATTTGTTTTACACCGCAAAATCGGCCACACGTTCACCCTTAAGACCCTGATCAATGGACCAGCATCCGCCAACATAACCGCAGTTTAAATCTGGAATGAAAATGGTAAAAGGAGGAAATGTGTATGAATAAAAATCTGCAGAAATCAGCAGTGCATTTTATATCCCCCATAAAACAGAGACGTCAAACAGATCTGCTGTATTGCTCCAACCTAAATCTCTCGAATGATCTCCGTGTTGATATCCGTGTTGTTCCCTGAGTGCAGGCTAAAATTGAATCAGTTCAATGACAAGATAACTCAAGCACACTGCCTTATTATGTAGCCTTCAATTGTACAGTCTTTGCATTGATGACAAGCAGCGGCCTTCGCTGGAGTATTTCTAGGTTACTGTCTCTTCATGGTGTGCTCCTTTTTTTTTTTCTACACTAACACACTCGAGCTGAATGGTTGTTTTCTGTAAAAATACTGAGCCACACGAGAGGGAAATATTACACTGATTTCATTGAAGCCAGTGTACTTCATTGACAAGTTGCTTTTGCTGTGTAGATTTTGGGGAGCGAATGCTGGGAGGCATAAATATGTGATGTTTGATGTGTGACAGGTTGTGCATAATAAGTAAACCTCATATTTGATTTGTGCAGTGCAGTGTTTGTTAGTAGTGTCACAGGCAGTGGAGTTCCTCATAGGAACCATTGATAAATGTGTTCCGTCTTACAGTACCAGCCC